AATTAAGGTCACCATTCTAATGAATTTGTTACATTATTTGATCCTTGAATTTTAAAATTAAAATTTTCAGATTTTAAAATGTAAATATGGGGCTGGAGAGAAGGCTTGGTGGTTAAGAGCATATACTGCTGTTGCAGAAGACCCAAATTTGGTTACTAACACCCATATTGAGTGACTTATAATCTCTAGCTCTTCAGGTAACTCCCTCTTCTGGCTTTTGTGCGCATTTGCACTCATATATAAATACTGTACATAGACATATGCATACACATGATTAATAAAAATAAATCTTTATGTAAATAGGTCACGCTATTCATCGACTTGTTACAGTTATTTATTGTTACACCATGAGCATGGAAAACTTTAATGGTGTGAATGTTGTCTTCATTACACCATCTTCATTAGGTAAATGAACCTATATTTGTATCAGACTAATTTTTTAGATATATTTATAACTATGTTCAAGATGACACTGAAACCTAAGGTTTTAGGAACTAAAATATAATTTTAATTAGTGTTAAAACTTTGGTGGTGATTGTATCAATTATATCAGATATTAAATTATCTTGTTCTAATATGTTACTTTTTTTCTACTTTGTAACTTGTATTTTGTTCTTTGGAGCATTACTTATAAGTGTAGTTTTCAATTTCTAGATGAAACTCAAAACTCTAAATTTAAGTTGGAACAGTTATTTAGATTGCAGAACTATAGTCTAGAATTGTTTATTGTAACGTATACGCGAATGTTCCCATATAGTGTATTCTTATATTTACATTTGTATAGATAAAGTGTTGGAAAACTGTTGTCTGTGGGACATTCTGCATTTTATTAATAAAGTTTTATTCAAACCCACTCATGCCCATTCATTTATGTATTTGTCTATGGCTGCTTTTGTCCTGGAACAGCAGAGATGAGTGGCCTGCCAAGCCCTAAAACACATGCCATATAACCTTCATGCCTCCAGGCATAGATGAATGCTTGACACTCAGGAAAGTTAAATGATATGGCCAGTGTGGTCATTCATGTATTTAGTCATTGTCTTAGGGTTTCTCTTGCTGTGATGAAACACTGTGACCAAAAAGCACATTGGGGAGGAAGGGATTTTTAGGCTTACACTTTAGCATTGCTGTTTATCACTGAAGGATGCCAGGACAGGAACTCAAACAGGGCTGGTTCCCGGAGGCAGGAGCTGATGCAGAGGCCATGGAGGGAGCTGCTTACTGGTTTGCTTCCCAAGGCTTGCTCCGCCCACCTTCTTATAGAACTCAAGTGTAGCAAGCTTTCTGGTTGGACTTTGTTGGACCACCAGCCCACAAATAATGACCTGGAGACTTATTATTAATTATGAAAGCTTGACTAAAAACAACAACAAAAGAAAAAAAAATGAGCTGGGTGGTGGTGGCACACGTCTTTAATCTTAGCATTCGGGAGGCAGAGGCAGGTGGACCTCTGTGAGTTCAAGGCCAGCCTGGTCTACAGAGTGAGATTCAGGATAGGCACCAAAACTACACAGAGAAATCCTGTCTCAAAAAAACAAAAAGAAAGCTTGGCCTTAGCTTAGGTTTTTTTCCAACTAGCTCTTATAACTTAAATTAACCTGTCTCTATTAATCTACATTCTGCCCTGTGGCTTGATTACCTCTGTTCTATACCATATGTCCAGCTTCTTCAGAGTCTCTGGTGAAATCTGCATACCTAGATTCTTCCTCCTTGCCCTCCCTCTCTGCCCTGGAAGCCTTGCCTATACTTCTTGCTATTGGCTGTTCAGTTTTTTATTTCAGTAATCACAGCAATACATCCTCACACAGTGTATAGATATCCTACATTTCCCCCTTTGTGTCTAAGTAAAAAGGAAAGATTTTAACTCTAATACAGTAAAACTATATACAGTAAAAAATTATCAGGTAAGAATTACATTCACAATATCCAATCCATTTTCATTTGGCAAATTCAGAGTAATTACTCCATTATCTATCCTATCTTGGTGAGTCCAACGTTTTATACCTAAACCATTTTCTATCATAACTTGTATTACCATTGTAAAAATAACTTTTTAGAACTAAAAATATCTTAGATAAACAACTTAAGCTTTTATGTTTCTCAAGCCTATCAACTTTACATCTCTTATGTTTTGTTTTTCTGAATTTGATAACAAGGAAAACTGTATAACTATTTAATCTTCAGTCCCCATCAGAGACCCAAGAAGGATAAAATATTACTTGAGTAAATAGAAAGTGCAGAACAAACAACTTCCAAAGCTATAGATACTATAGAGACATTTGGCTGCCTGGACTCAAGGTTCCTCTACAATACTGGGGCATCCATCTTTGGCCTACAGGCCTAGAATATCTGACAAATTTTTCTGTAAAACAGGAATTTTGAAGGACTGTCCTACCCTGTCTTGGCAAAGTTTGGCAGTTACTTTCTTTTGTATCCTGATTGTCCAGTTTGGACAACATACTGTCATTCATCAAGGCAAGGGCAGTTTCTTGCCCAGTGGTTAACTTTGCCAAAATAAAATCAAACTCCATATGGAGGTTCTTTGATGCCCATCATCCTTTTTTGAAGTAGATTTGTGCTCTCAGGAGCAGATGTGTCTCACTGTCATGAAAAGCCTTATGTTATTAAAACATCTTAAATGCCATATTTTGTAGGTCTCTGAAGTGTTTGAAGACCACCTATCTAAACTATATCTCTGTTTGACCTTGAAAAACATACCTAACATGGCTACAAATTTGATTGTTATAAATTTCAACCTGTATTTCTTTATTATCCTATATAGCTTTCAAGGACTAGACCTTTACATTACATTTTTAAATGAGCTGCATAGGTACAATGCCTTAAACAAGAGTAGAAACATATATATGTTCAAACAAAAATAACCTTAAATTTGTATCAATATACACAAGTCCATACCAATGTAAAATATTTAAGACTAGTAGTTGCCTTTTTAGTTTAAAAGTAGATTCAATAATTGTGGTGGACTAGCCCCCACTGTTACCATCCAAGTTACTCTTGAATAGGGAGAAGTAAGAAATATTACATAGAAAGAGATACCTAGATGATGAGAGGAAAGACAGAAACACAGGATAGCCTTGGGAGGGTCTGGGTCAAAACCCACCAGCCCAGAACTTCATTCAAAAGGGCTTTTTACAACAATGCCAAGGGGAGGGGCAAAAGACCTCCCTCTTATGGTGGTATTTTATTTGTACTGAAATATGATTTTGATTGTATGTTAATAAAGTTGCCCGGGGGTCAGAGCTATTAGAGCCATAGCAAAAGCTGGGCGGTGGTGGTGCACGCCTTTAATCCCAGCACTTGGTAGGCAGAGCTAGGTAGATCTCTGTGTGTTCAAGGATACAGCCAGCATCGGAGACACATGCCTTTAATCTCAATACCATAGAAGACCTGGAGGGCTGTACAACAGACAGTGATGAGGCAGTCATGTGGTTGGTTTTACAACCAATGAGAAGGCAGAACAGAAAGTCTATATAAAGACAAACAGATAGGAAGTAACTCTCTTTCGGAGAGGTCTCTTGGTTTAAGAGGCTAGCTGCAGCAGGTGGGTAAGGCTCTTAGCTCTGACCTCTTGGCTTTCTTCTTTGCATTGGTTCTGTGTTTCTTATTTAATAAGACGGTTAGTTACATCTACACCCCCTGCTAGATACAGCCAAGTGGAGACCCTTCCAAACACCTGGTACCTAGGCCAGTGGCCCAGTCATCCCCTCATGCAGTCCTGCTGGGTACAGCCACTAGGAAACCTCAGTGGGCTCCAACAAATAATCCACCCTTTTATCCTGTCATTTCTATATTCCTCTTTTACTTTTCAGAATGAGTTCCCTTGAATCTAATCTCCTTTGCTCAGCTTTCTCCTTGACCATGACCAACCACAACTTGCAATCAAATGATGATAAATATTCATAGTCCATTGAACGATCAACCCCCCCCCCCCCCCCCCCCCCCGCCATCCCACTTCTTGGGATATGGGCATCATGTTCTCTAGACTGCTTCCTGTTGATGGCCACTCTAGGGAATCTGAGAAAATTGAGATAATGGTCTAGTCCTGGAAGAGGTAGTTGTATTATTTTTTTGTTTAGTCTTTGTGTGATGGGAAAGTGCAGGGCTTATCTGAAGTCCTGGCTGGAGTAGTCTGTGAGGCTGGTCCATCTCAGCTAGCAGCTTTGACGTTGTTCTTGATGCAGAATTTTGAGAACGCTAGCAGAGGCGTTTTGATTTTGATGCTGGATTACTTGGCCTACTTGTTTTCACTCGTGTTTTGTTTTGTTTTTATTTTTTTGTTTTTTTTAAAAAACACAAAGTTTTAAAGGTAACATATCTGTATTAACATAAGTATAGAATGTCCAGTGTGTACAAGTCAGCTTAAGAAGATTTTTTGTTCTATATTTGAACAGTTAAAGACATCTATTATCTTTATAAATCTGTTTGGACTGTCTAAACCTATGAAAGGGTTGTATGTAATAAGTCATGAGGATTCTATAGTCAACAAGATTTATCATGTCTCATCTGGTCTCAGAGCTGTACCCATATTGAGGGATCAGCATATAATATCACCTGTCCTATAGCCTTTCTTGGCTTTTTTTCTTTATGTCT